AAAAAAAACAAAAAAAAAAAAACAAAAAAAAAAAACAAAAACAAAAAAAAAAACCAAAAAAAAAAAAAAAAAAAAAAAAAAAAAAAAAAAAAAAAAAAAACGATTTTATAGAATGTATACATTAGCCTAAAATTATAAATAAACATTTATAATATTTATAAGGGGCCGTCCATAACGTACATCACGCTATTTTTTAGCATTTTCACCCCCCTCCCCCTTGTCACAAATCTCAGAAACCCCCCCACCCCTAAAGTACGTCACACTTTCGAGCAATTTTTTGTAAAAATTAACAACCAATTAAAATTTAATCTAAAACACACTTCACTATTAAACTGTATTAAAGTATACAATTTCCACTGAAAAAGAGCTATCACATTATTAAAATGACTTTTAATAGTATAATAGTTAATTGTCAACAGTTGTCACAGTTATTCATTGAAGCAACTCAATCTAGATTGAATTTGAAAACAAAAATTGCAAAAATTAGACTAGACAATTATATAATACACATCATTTGTCTGCTGCTTTTTCATTTACAATAGTTGAGGTCAAGTTTTAGATAATCTTCCGATTATGCAATCTTTTTACACAGGATAAGAAGAAGATTAGCGAAACTTGTCTCACCCAGTGATTAAATAATAAGAGGACTGTGACATAATTATTCAGCGGACAACATAGAAATAATAATACTTCCGGCATGACGAAAGCAAAGCTATACATAAAACAAGGCTTCGCAACAGCATACTAGCGCTCCTAGCGAGGAAAATCGTGAACAACACATTCAGGAGATACACATTTCATGCTATTATGACATAAAACTAATTCAAATGTTTCACTGAATTTTTGAAAACTATTTTTCAAGCTATTGAATTCTACAAAAAAATAAAAAATAAATTAGAAATAAAATTTATAAAAAATAAATGTGTGACGTCACACATGGCCTGACCCCTGTCACAAACTGTCACACTTTCTTAAACCCCCTCCCCAGCCTGGAGCGTGACGAACTTTATGGACGGCCCCTAACGTAGCAACAAAGTCTTACAAAATATGTTTTTATACAAACGTTATTAAAAGACTTTCTATTAAAGACGAAAATATGTGTAGATATAATGTTAAAAAAATTAATAATTTAAAAAAAATAATTTTTACTACATTTAATTTATAACCTTCTGATGCATATAGTGTTTTCTAAACTTCTCCACTTAATTTATTTATTTAATCAATTTAAAAAAAAAAAATTAAAATTACTTTTACACCTTTTATTGCCCTTAAACTCTTCTTTGATAGGAAGTCTTTTTAAAAAGTTATAATATATATAAAAATATATTGTAGCTGAATACCCATTGTTACGCACTGGCTTCTTATGTGAGAAATGAATATCTTATTTTAATTGTATGGCTCCTTCAAACAGTGCCCAACAAAGGACGATACCATAGAGAAATACAATACAAAAATACGACACCCAAAACAGTACCAATTACAATTAATAAGATTTAATTTAGTAATAATACAATTGCAAAACAAAAGAAATATAATTACAAATCATCAACTTATAGAATATCGGAAGATCTTGTACTGGTACACAATTAGTACAATTTGCCAATTAATAATGAAGAATGCGAATAAACACATATGAGCACACAAAGAATAATGCAATTGTCTCGTAAAGTTAATAATATCAATAGGAATCTCTCTCTGTCTCCGTTTCTGTCAATCTCTTTAGATATGCAGCGTAGGCCCTGCCTTCCAGAAGCTACTCAGCATTTGTTTACGTTTCTCGGCAAATTGAGAACCTTCGACATGAGACTAGGAGACAGAATAACCATGTTTAATTGGTAGTCGGTAGTAAACACGACACATCAAACGAATAGGCCACGCCCATCTATGAACGTAGCGTGTGCAAGGAGTCTAATTTGAGGTCAAGCAAAGTTCACGCACAGGGAAAAAGTGTCATACAGAAACACCATGCTTCGCAACGATGTTTTGGAAAATAACAAGTATATTAGGGTGTAGACAGCTCACGCTGAGGGATGACAATGCAATAACTGTCGTCTCAACGGAATAAGAGAGGAAGGCGCCACGGAGCGTTCGTCTTCTAGACTGGTTTCGTTGATCCGCATCAACTTAGTGTCCCAGCTGTAAAAAACTATGCCTCTCTTTTGATTCTCCCACCTACAATTACCAAAGCCACGTCGCATTTTTGTCAGCCATTACATCTACTCCTATGTCCAACTGCAGGTTTTGTCAGCCATTACATCTACTCCTATGTCCAACTGCAGGTTTTTGTCAGCCATTACATCTACCCCTATGTCCAACTGCAGGTTTTTGTCAGCCGTTACATCTACTCCTATGCCCAACTGCAGGTTTTTGTCAGCCATTACATCTACTCCTATGTCCAACTGCAGGTTTTTGTCAGCCATTGCATCTACCCCTATGTCCAACTGCAGGTTTTTGTCAGCCATTACATCTACTCCTATGTCCAACTGCAGGTTTATGTCAGCCATTGCATCTACCCCTATGTCCAAATGCAGATTTTTGGCAGCCATTACATCTACCCCTATCTCCAACTGCAGGTTTTTGTCAGCCATTGCATCTACCCTATGTCCAACTGCAGGTTTTTGTCAGCCATTACATCTACCCCTATGTCCAACTGCAGGTTTTTGTCAGCCATTACATCTACTCCTATGTCCAACTGCAGGTTTTTGTCAGCCATTGCATCTACCCCTATGTCCAACTGCAGGTTTTTGTCAGCCATTACATCTACCCCTATGTCCAACTGCAGGTTTTTGTCAGCCATTACATCTACTCCTATGTCCAACTGCAGGTTTTTGTCAGCCATTGCATCTACCCCTATGTCCAAATGCAGATTTTTGGCAGCCATTACATCTACCCCTATGTCCAACTTCAGGTTTTTGTCAGCCATTGCATCTACCCCTATGTCCAAATGCAGATTTTTGGCAGCCATTACATCTACCCCTATGTCCAACTGCAGGTTTTTGTCAGCCATTGCATCTACCCCTATGTCCAACTGCAGGTTTTTGTCAGCCATTACATCTACCCCTATGTCCAACTGCAGGTTTTTGTCAGCCATTGCATCTACCCCTATGTCCAACTGCAGGTTTTTGTCAGCCATTACATCTACCCCTATGTCCAACTGCAGGTTTTTGTCAGCCATTGCATCTACCCCTATGTCCAACTGCAGGTTTTTGTCAGCCATTACATCTACCCCTATGTCCAACTGCAGGTTTTTGTCAGCCATTGCATCTACCCCTATGTCCAACTGCAGGTTTTTGTCAGCCATTACATCTACCCCTATGTCCAACTGCAGGTTTTTGTCAGCCATTGCATCTACCCCTATGTCCAACTGCAGGTTTTTGTCAGCCATTACATCTACCCCTATGTCCAACTGCAGGTTTTTGTCAGCCATTACATCTACTCCTATGTCCAACTGCAGGTTTTTGTCAGCCATTGCATCTACCC